TGGGCAACAGAGCAAAACTCCATCTTTAAAAAAAAAAAAAAAAATGAGGTCTTGCTATGTGCCCCAGGTTGGTCTCGAACTCCTGGGCTCAAGCGATCCTCCTGTCTAGGCCTCCCAAAGTGCTGGGATTACAGGCGTGAGCCACTATGCCCGGCCTCATCAAGTTATAATTCAATTAAATAAAACACTCAGTTGTACTAGCCATATTTTAAGGGCCCACTATCACACGTAGCTAGTAGTTACTGCAGAGGCAGCACAGACACCTTACATTTCCACCATCACGGAAAGTTCTACTGGGCAATGCTGCTTTATATAAACCAAAGCTAGACCACAAGTTGGTTTAAGTTTAAATTAGAATCAATAGAAAGATAAGAATCACAGGATTCCTCAAAGTATCATGACAAGGATAAATAAGGTGTGGGAGTGGGAATAAATTGGCTCTTAAAAATGGCCAACGACATTTCTCCAGCCTTAACTAAAACGGAAGGCAGGCCTCTTTCAGGATCAGTCAGATAATCTGTGGACGCTTCAAGGCCACCGTCAATTCAGAGTGTGTTAGGGAAGAAAGGCTGATGGACCAGGATGGATTTATTATTGTCATTATTTAGCCTGGAGAAGACAAAGCCTGCGGGGTGAGGTCACAGCTGTCTTCAATGATCTGCTGGGCTGAGACGTAGCCTGTAGTCTGGAGTAAGAACCAACAGGTCCAAGTTATACAGCAAACTTTGGCTCGACAGGTCAAGAATTCCACCTAGAGATACTCAATGGTAAAAATAAGCTATCATTCTGAGCGTGATTATCTACGCTTCTTGCAGGTATTCAAGAAGACAGATTAACTTCTTGATCATACACAGTACTGCATAAATGTATATCATGTTGGGGACTGGTAAGGAAACTTATCTCTTTGAATTCTAAGCCTTTTCATTTCAGGGAGACACACAACCCACAGAAACCCAATTGAGCATACATGGAGGTGCTAGTGCGGAACAAACACGCAGCCACTCTCTGTGCCTTGCCTTGTTGGTGCTGTTGAGTAAGGTAAGGATATCTCCCTTCTTCATGGTGACCTCTCGGGGACTCTTCTCCTGATAGTCGTAGAGAGCCAAGACCAGCTCCTTCCCAGTCTCGTCATCCATGGGGGCCACTTGTTGCTAAAAATCCAAAGAAAGGGCAAACATTGTAAAAACAGGTCCACGCTGAGTCATCTAAGTACACAGCAGTTTCATATGTCACCAGCTGTACCAAATTTACCAAATACACACTCATGAGAGTTCTTCACTGAAGCTACCAATAAAATCTGATCCAAGAACTTTAAATTTTTGGTATCTTTAAAAAAAAATCTCATTTTGGCTGGGCGCAGTGGCATACACCTGTAATCCCAGCACTTTGGGAGGCCAAGGCAAATCACCTGAGGTTGGGAGTTTGAGACCAGCCTGACCAACATGGAGAAACCCCATCTCTACTAAAAATACAAAATTAGCCAGGCGTGGTGCATGCCTGTAACCGCAGCAACTCGGGAGGCTGAGGCAGGAGAATCACTTGAACCTGGGAGGTGGAGGTTGCGGTGAGCCAAGATTGTGCCACTGCACTCCAACCTGGGCAACAAGGGTGAAATTCTGCCTCAAAAAAAAAAAAAAAAAATCTCATTTTAAATTAGGGCCGGGCACGGTGGCTCATGCCCACAATCCCAGCATTTTGAGAGGCTGAGGCGGGCGGATCTTGAGGTCAGGAATTTGAGACTAGCCTGGCCAACATGGTGAAACCCTCTCTCTACTAAAAATACAAAAATTAGCTAGGCGTGGTA